ACACAGCAAATGCCCTTCCAGACGCAATCCGACACTTTGAAACACCCATACACTCTTGCATTCACACACATACCCTATGGCCAATTTAGCTTATTCAATTCACCTGTACTGCATGTCTTTAGGCTGTGGGAGAACATGCAAACTCCACACAGAAATGCCAACCGACCCAGCCGGGGATCGAACCAGTGACCTTTTTGCTGTGAGGCGATACTATTGTTACTTGTATAAAGTGTAATTTAAACAAGTGATTGTAAAGCAGTGGTTTGTTTTGTAGGATCAAGCGGCAACCTCCTGCTCTCCCTCAGGAAGCCAATACGGAAGTAACTAAAACTGCAATTCATCCGAAATTCCGCTAGTCCTGGCCTCTCCTGGCTCCAAAACAGAGCAAATTTCAATTGAGCCCACTGTTAGAATGGCCAACTTTACAGCAGAAAAAAAGGTGTTTACAGCCTGGTACAAAAAAAGATTTGGGTTAATACAGCTAATATTACCCTTCATGACAACTGTGAGGGGGGTGAATTTTTTTATAACTTATCCGTTTCCTTTATATTAAGTTATATTAAGTTTGCATAATTAAGGGCGTGGCCACTTGAGTGACAGCTAGGTCTCGCTGGTCGCCGTCACGTCACCTCAGCTGAATCCTGCAGATTAGCCACTGAACTCGGCATATTTATCGTATTTCTGTGTTGTTTTATGTGGCTTTACACAGTCAACTGCCTTTTGGACTTGTTTCCCACAATTATTAGATGGCATGGCATGCTGAGGGCACTTAATTGTGCTCACAAACCATTCACGTGGCCTCCGTTTCCCATGTGAGTAAAGTTATATGCTTATATACCATCTCTGTACATGTATTTGTTTTATTTAAGATCATTTATCGTTTATATTTATAGCTGTAATGCATTCCAGAATCTGTCAGATTGATTAGCTGTAGGCTCTGAACAGTCATCTGAAGCGTTGTCATACAGTTGTCATGCTGGATTTCATCAATAGTCTTACATTTACTAACACAGACTATATCTAAAGTGTTTGGAAGTAATTCGCGTTTTCCTCCTGTTGAAAAACGTCATAAGAACAATGTTTAGTGGCTCAATGTATTACAGCAGTGTTTTTAAAAGTCTAAACACTTTATTGATATAGTATACAACCAAGCACAAGTGGTCAGAATACAAACGAGTCACAGGTGATAAAGTATAAAGCGTTTCTCCCAAAGTAAAGTGTGTCTGAACCAGGTCCAAGCTAAATGCTAGCAGGTGTCTGTAGCTCCGCTCACTCTCCGCCTTTTTGCCCTTGTTTGGTATCCCGCCGTGGGTGTGATGACGCGTGACCAAAATGGCGACGGTTGGCCGCGCCTACTTGTGGCTTCTTTTTTTTTTTTTTTTTTTTTTTTTTATTGAATGCTTGAAAAACAATAACAACAAATGTCATGAATTAAACAGCAACAATCCAGGAGTTTTTAGTCATTTAGTCCAAGATAAGTGCCAAGTCCTTCATCAAAGTCCTCGTTCGTATTGCTTTTAAGTTGGTTGATCCTTTAATACACTCAAAATACATTTTCATTTCAATTTTAAATTTAGGGAAAAAAGGTTTACACTTGCAAAACTTGCTCTTGTGAATATGAAATTTGGCCAACAAAAAAACAAGGTTCATGAAATAGGTATTATTTTCCTTTTCACAATCATGGAAACCAAAGATAACATTCTTATATGTAAATTCAAAATCTGCCTTCACATAAACTTTTATAAAATCAAGAACATCACACCAAAATGACATTGAATGAGGGCAAGTCCAAAATAAATGAACAGACGTCTCAGGATTCACTAAGCAAAATGAACAGTTGGTGTTACTTGTGGCTTCTTTTGCGCTCTTCAGAAACCTATGGGTGACGTCACGGATACTACGTCCATATATTTTACAGTCTATGTGTAGGATCTAATAATATTGATCGTAAAAATAATTTTAAACAACTTAACAGCTTTAATTCTAGCCAAACTAAAATAAGACTTTCTCCAGAAGAAAAAATATGAGTGAAATAATAATCTTTTATTGTTCTTCATAAAATAAATATTTACGAAAAAAAAACTTATTAAAACAAACAACAGGTAATTAATACATTTTAAATGTTTTTAAAAACTCATCTTGTTGACAAAGGAGTAAAACCTGGCGAGTTCTAGTTTAGAAAGATAGTGACCAAGAATAAACATTTAAAATAGCAATTATTTAGGATTTCAGGTCAAAAGGTCTGTAAATCCTGGTAAAAATGTCTTTATGGTGCAGTTTATTTTATGCAAGCCTTATTTGTTATAGTCAAATAAAATCTGAGATCCGCCTACGTTTGACCCTATTGGTGTGTAACATGAAAGTGTGCTATACTGAGAAGCATATCATAATGAATAAATTGACTTTCTGGCAAAAACATTGCGGTTAAATGCACTTCTGGCTGAACGCAACTCTTTTTAAAAAATGCCATTGTCGTCCTTATGGTAGCCAGTGCATGTGTTGTTTGAGAAAGCGAGCACGCGTCCTTTAATTGGGCTTTTTGGAACTACATCCATAAAATTCCACCAAAATGGATAGATTTAGACTGCAGCGTGTAGTTATTTACTAGAAACAGTTTAATCTGTGTTGTAGTATGTGGTTTCCACTTACCATTAAATCAAGCTTGAGGATCTTGGAGTAACCAAACGGAAAAGAGCAGAGCTTTGAAGAACTGTACTGGCTTAGATGAAAGTTTTCTAAACTACACAGAGTAACTTTTGAGGACCTCAACTGCTTTTTAATGTAGAATAAAAGGAAATCGGGCCTTCTGGTGGGCAATGTGATTTTCATGTTTATTTTATTTTCATTCATTCATTTTCCTTCAGGTTTAGTTGTTTATTTATCAAAAGTTGCCATAGTTGCCAACTATTCTAGTACATTAATTACACAGTGGATGCCCTTCCAGCCGCAACCCAGTACTGGGAAATATCCATTCACGTCCACACACACTCATACACTACATCCAATTTTGTTTACCCAATTCACTTATAGCGCATGCCTTTGGACTGTGGGGGAAACCGGAGCACCCAGAGGAAACCCACGCAAACAAGGGGAGAACAATATCATTTTATTTTATTATTTTTTTTAATTTAATTTTTTAAATTTTATTTTATTTTAGTTTGATCCTGGATTACAAAACCAGGTTTTATGTTGGGTATATTTACAGCAATCAATTTCTTCTACGCTAAAAATTGTTAGAATAATAAGTAAAGATCAGGTTCCATGAAGATATTTTGTACATTTCATACTGTAAATGTATCAAAACTCCATTTCTATTTAGTGATATTAATAAAAACTGTTAAGAACTTGATCTGGACTTCAACTGAGATTTTCTCAATATATTGAGAGGAGTCTGGATGTAGACTTGGTATAGTTGCAATGTGAGCTGCATATAATGCTTTTAATGTGCAAACCTAACCCCACCCCTAACCCTACTCCTCACAGTGACATCACTAGCTCCATTGAGTGCATTGTGTCTGACATTGCAAGTCTGAGATATGCAGTCTTAGCTAGCAAATCCAAGTCTGCATCCAGATACTATTTGAGATATCAGTTAAAGACTGTCAAATCCTAACAAACCATATATCAGTGGAATTAAAAAGGACTCTTATGACTGATTTTAATCATCACTTAAACTTGATTAATACAAATTTCAAGAATTCAGACTTAGCTCATGATTTAAACATAGTTTGGCATGCTGTCCCTGGAGAGAGCCCTGGGCTCAAGGGCGAGGGGAGATTGAGCGCAGGTCGATCTCAAAACTCCTCCGCTGCTGAGGCTAAGGTGAACTTCCTGAGACATTAGAAAAAAGATTTATCCTTATTTTTAACTATAATATATAGATTTTCATGCACAACCAGCGGCAGTTCTGTGGGGGCACAAATGTCTGGTTGATGCCAGAGGTGAGAGGAGAATAACCAGACTGGTTCGAGCTGATAGAAAGGGAAAAGTGACTCAAATAATAGAGCATCTCTGAACACAAAACACATCCAACCATGAGACAGATGGACTTCAGCAGCAGAAGACCACACCGGGTGCCACTCTTGTTAGCTATGAACAGGAAACTGAGGCTACGATTCACACAGACTTACCAAAATTAGACAATAGAAGATTGGAAAAATGTCGCCTGGTCTGATGAGTCTCCATTTCTACTGCAACATTCGGATGATAGGGTCAGATTTTGGCGTCAACTACATGAAAGCATGGATCCATCCTGCCTTGTATCAACAGTTCAGGCTGCTGGTGGTGGTGTAATGGAGTGGGGGATATTTTCTTGGCACACTTTGGGGCCATTAGTACCTACTGAGCATCGTGTCAATGCCACAGCCTACCTGAGTACTGTTGCCGACCATGTCCATCCCTTTATGACCACAGTGTACTCATCTTCTGATGGCTACTTACAGCAGGATAACACACCATGTCATAAAGCTCAAATCAACTCAGACTTGTTTCTTGAACATGACATGGCCTCCACAGTCACCAGCTCTCAATCCAATAGAGACCCTTTGGGATGTGGTGGAATGGGAGATTCGCATCATGGATATGCTGCAGCACCTGCATGATGATATTATGTCAATATGCACCAAAAACTGTGAGGAATATTTCCAGTACCATGTTGAATCTAAGCCATAAAATATTAAGACAAACGGAGGTCAACCCGGAACTAGTAGAGTGTACCTAATAAAGTGGCTGATGAGTGTAATTAGTTTGCAGCAAGATATATTTTAGAGTGTATGTTAAGCTTTTAAATGCTCTCTTTCTTCCATCATTGCTATTTATTTATGAAATCTATTATTTCAGTCTGAAGCACACTGGTGTAAATTTGATCAGACCTCATATAAGATCCATTTTTTGGCCCAGTGAAACCATCTTCTTCTTTCTTCTTCATTCTGACATGTGATTTATCAGTGTTTTACAGTCAAACCTCCCATTCCTTTAACACATGCTTCCCGTACTTCCAGGTCCATCACAGTGAACGTGTGTGTGCTTGACAGTCAACCATAAAGAGGATAAGCACTTTCCTGCAGAGGAACAGCTGTGGAGCAGGAGCACGGTGAGTCTGGTATTTTTGGAGAGCAGGCCTTCTGCCTCATGAAAGCGCGGGGTGGGTCACAACACCTGTTTGTTCGGGACAGACAACCGCCTATCAAAGCACTGAGGCTCCGAGCGCTGCGTAATGACAAGACCAGCAGAAGATCCTCAGTGCTGCAGCGCCAGCCTGTCCTCTATCCTGAAGCGTACAGTATGAATGATTGAAGGAACAAACAACAGAACGTGTGAATGAATGAATGGATCAAGACAAATGCTGGTGTTTAGCTTGAATTTGGTTGTTGGCATTAGGAAGGTTGAATGAATGCCTAGATATCACAGTATGGCCTAGCAGGTCAGTTGTGTGTCTGTTTTTGTCTTGTAAGAGGCTGGGTCTCTGCACTGTAAAAAATATCCTGGTTGCCTTAAATTTGTAAGCTGATTTAAATTAACCTTATGAGTAGGCCCGCGGAATCTGCGCGTGTAGAATTTTGCAGATTTTTAGCCCATTATTAATTCTTTTTATTTACTTGAGTAAATGTGTGTAAATCTATATTTATTCAGTTTTTTAATTATTTACAGTAATATTATTGACTAATATGAAAGTGTTCATCTGATTTATGTTCAATGCCGTTTGTAAAGTCATATTCTGTCTTTTTGTAGAGATATTATATGAGAGACTTGCTCTCATTGCTTTCTTGCTTTACTAAATAAAGGGAATCTAATTGGATTTGCATTTTAAACATTAAATACAATTTAAAAAGATATTTTTTTTATTCACATATTAAGGTTTTAGTTATGATACTCCCAGAATAATTCCGCTGATTTTTACCTAAATTCTCTGCATAACTAGCAAAAAACAGAGATTCTGTCGGCCCTATTTATGAGTCCATTGAACTTATATTATGTTAAAATGACTTAAAACAGCTTGCATAACTTAACAAATTAAGTTAGAGCATGATTAACTTAATTTTAAGTTACAATGACCTAAAAACATGCTGTCAGAAACAATTGATAATTTTATTTTAACAGTGACCATAAATGAGAAATCATCACTATAGTTTAATTATGCTGGCAAAGAAATCACTATTTCGGGAAAATAAATAAATAAATACTACTTTTCATGGGTAAATTATAATATTTAAAATCAAACAGATTGTTTTGACATTAGCTCCATAACTGGGCGTACAAAGGTCTGCATTAATATTATATTAGTAGTTTTACAATTTTTTTGCGTTTTATTTTTTTAAATAGTTTTACAAAGTTAGAAAACTATAATTATGAAAAAATAAAATTCTGAGAAAAAATATTTTATAATTAATATTTTGGTATTACAAATATTTTTTTATTGAAGTTTTCCTTTACCTTTTTAAAAATACATTTTATTTATTTTTTTATTTCATTTACTTATGTTATGCGATAATTTTTTGATCAGTGAGATTTATATTAATTGCCAAGTACTTTATTTGGACAACTTTCTCAATATTTACACTGTAAAACCCAAAAGTCAACTTGATCAAATGAAATGAGTGTCATTATCTCAAAATGTACTGAAAGTTAATTCTACTCATTTGATAAGAGTTCTGAACTCAGTGTTGTAGGTAATGTGTTAAATAAATACCTCATTGCTTCAACTTAAATGGAGCAAGTTCACGGTACTTATATAGATTAATTTATTTTTTCCCTCAAACGGTTTGAGTTGATTTAACTTGTTGGGTTTTACAGTACTCAGTTGGTTTGAGTTCTCTTTATTTATTGGGTTTTTACTGTGCTCAAATTGCTTCATTTACTCAAATGGACTCATTGTGATTCGTTTTTAAACTAAAATGATTTGTTGCAATCGGTTTCCTCAAATAATTTGAGTTACGTTTTGGGTTTTACAATGTTGTTGTTTTTTTTATTATTGTAACAAACCAAACCAAACATGAATGGAATTTGGATTTCTAAAATACGCTTATGACTGGTTGTAATAATCATTTAAACCAATCATTTAAACTCATTTACACAAATTAATCAAATTTAACCATAAAATTTAATGATCACCTAAAAAACTGTTTAATGATCATCACAGTGGTCCAAAACAACATTTGCTATCTGTGATTATTTAGTTAAAAAGTATAAGAAATTATCTATATTTTAAGGTTGGACAGTAGACGGCTAACTACAGTGCTCCACATAGATACATAGGTACATCCCTCACAAATCTCTCCTTTAATTTCATATTTTGAATAGGAAGCTATACAAAATTATATTTGTGCATATACGTTAGGTTAGTCAGTACTGAAGACTAATCTGGAGTAGTACACCGAAAAACGAGTACAGCTAAATTTATGTATAGAAACATATTAAATAAAAATTTCAAAAAGAGGAAAAATAAAGAAAAGCAAAAAATGGAAAATTTGAGTTGAAATTTTGTAGGTTGTAATTATTTTTTTATTTTTTGCAATATTTTGCTTGAATTAAATTGTATTATCTTTTAGTTTCTAAATATGTTTGGTGACTAAAATATTATTTGAATAAATATATCTGTTTAATAAATCTGTTTTGTTTAAATGTACCAAAATAAATTGCCTATATTCACTGTGAAATAGATACAAATGTTCATTTTCAAAATGGGAAGTCCTCAATTATGCTGGGAACTGTATATATTTTTGTAAATCTGGATATTTACAGGTAACAAAACAAACAGATGGAACAAAAAGATGTATGGATGAAATGTCCCTTTAAATGCACAGACAGGCCTTCTTGTATGAAAAAAATAACATATATGAATTTTCATTTATTTATGAAAGCTATTGGCCCAGTAGTTCCCTGTTCAATATGAAAGCACTTACTCTTGATTTAAAACTGACAAGATCTCATTTAAGATCAATTTTTCGGCCCAGTGAAACCCTCTTCTTCTTCTTCTTCTTCTTCTTCTTCTTCTTCTTCTTCTTCTTCTTCTTCTTCTTCTTCTTCTTCTTCTGTTGGCTTTTTCAGGTCAGATCTTTGGAAGCTGTCTATGCTGTGTTGTGCTTGGCTCTTGCTCTGCTGCAGTTCCTGCTGGCTTTGGACAATGTGCGAGCTCCCAGAAGGCTTTGCTCTCCCAGGCTAAACACTAATACTTGGCTTCTTGCGGTTGCATCCATTTTCATAAATTTTCAACTCTATTTTGGCCACTGGGTTTTTCCTTATTTATAGTATTTTGACAAATGACATAGCCATGTGAAGACGTTTGCTTTTGCAGATTTTTTTGACAAAAGGCATAAAATTTTATATACATTTCAGGTGTGAGTTTTATACAGTACAGAAATGACTACACTGTAAAACCCAAAAAGTAATGTCAATTCAAACCATTTGAGGAAACCGATCGCTACAAACCATTTAAGTTCAAAAACTAATCCTAATGAATACTGTGAACTCAATCCATTTGAGTAAATGAAGCAATTTGAGCACAGTAAAACCCAATAAATGAAGAGAACTCAAACCAACTGAGTACTGTAAAACTCAATAAGGTAACTCAAACCGTTTGAGGAAACCGATTGCTGCAAACCATTTGAGTTAAAAAACTAATCTATATGAGTACTGTGAACTTACACCCTTTCAAGTTAAAGTAATGAGAGATTTAATTAACTGATTACCTTCAACACCGAGTTCAAAACTCTTTTTAAATGAGTAGAATTGACTTTCAGTCAATTCTGAGCTAACTACACTCATCTCATTTGATAAAGTCGACTGTTGGGTTTTATTGTAGCATAACACTGACACTTTTGTCACTGTGTTACGTTTAAGTTGGCTGATGCTGAAATGCCCTTTAGCACAAGTTCATGCACTCACAGAATGCTTAATGGCTACATGATCTTAAGAAATCATCCTCAACTGAAGGTTGGCTGTATGGCTGTTAATTATACGTCTGATTCTGTGACTTTGGATATTTATAGGTAGATGAATGCGTGTTTGTCGTTGTGTTCAGTAGAAAGGTCTTGGCAAGCTGTTGGCAACATTCTTGTTTCATTTCTTTGCCTTTAATTTGAAATATGCTTGGTTGCTATTTTTGTGGAACTTGTTGGATGGGTGAACAAATTATAAGCAAAAAGTTTTGTGGATTTGTTCAGAGGTCACTGCGAGTGCTGTCGGCAACGTGATGCATTTTATCGAAGAAAAAAATATATAATTGTACAAAAGTTGTCTTTCCTCTACTTGTCAAAAGTTGGAATTGTTTAATACACTCTTTAAAATATAGACTCTTAATTGCAGGTTTATTAAGTGGTCAGGCAAGCAACGATCACATTCAGGAGAAAACAGATGTATGTATGCAAATCCAGAGTCATAGTCGAATATACTGGCAGATGGACAAAAGGCAGGCAGCAGACAGAAATAAACAAACACAACAAACAACACAGCAAGACGAGGTAAGGTAAACGCATCGTAACGTTCACAATACTTTACGACAAGACTTAGCAATGAGGGTGTCAGAGTGAACTGTAGATATGGGAGTGTCATCAGTCCATGAGCAGCATCAGCTGTGGAAGTGTGATCAATGGAGACTTGGAGCAGGTGTGTGTTTCATGACTGGAACTTGTAGTCCATATACCAGCAGATTTGTAGTCCATTAGCAATCTGCACAGGCTGTGACAGGCTTTGACAGTTCTGAGATTTTAAATTTAATATAACATTTATTTGTTGTTGTTTTAATTTCATAAAAAATTAAATTGAACCTTTAAAATGAACTTATCCAGCACATGTTTTACACAGCAAATGCCCTTCCAGCTGCAATTCAACACTGTGAAACACCCATACACTCTCACATTCACACAAATACACTACGGTCAATTTAGCTTATTCAATTCACCTATAGCCCATGTTTTTGAACTGTGGGGGAAACCGGAGCACCCGGAGGAAACCCATACCAATATGGGGAGCACATGCAAACTCCACACAGAAATGCCCACTGACCCAGTCAGGGCTTGAACCAGTGGCCTTCCTCCTGTGAGGCGATCGTGCTACCAACATTTTACTCCTGGCACTTTTATCATTGCTATTTAGAATCATAGGTCTGGCGATCATACTTTAAGTGGTCATTTGTTGGAGAGGCTTGTGTGTTGTTGGTTAAAAAAAGTATGGTTTGTCTAACCCCATTACTTTGTTCATTATTTGACTAAAACCAAAATGTGTTACTTTGTGCCCTGCTTTTATAAATCTTTATTAAACCTAACATCCAAATATAGAACAGATACTTTAGTAAACTCTACAAAATCATGCTAAAGTGGTTCTTTTACTTGTCTTTAAAGTGGAACCACTTTAAGTGCTGTATAGTGGTTCGCAAAGTGGGGGTTGTGAGACAATGAAGGGGGTTTCCAAAAATCTATTTTATTTTATTAAACCATTAGAATTACCATAATTTATCCATAACCTACACTGAA